ATCAGGGGATCAGAAATGTGGGAACATCCTTCCTGCAGCTGTGCAGGTGACAGCCAAGGGTAAGTTAAAAGTACAATGATCCTCTCCTGGAAGCTCTGGTGACACCAAGTTACTCCTCTGCTCTCTGCAGCTCTGTGGCAGGAGGTTTGAACCATGTGGGGCTCAGCCTCTTCTCCCAAGTGACAAGAGGAAACAGCCTCAAGTTGTGTCAGGGGAGGTTTAGGTTGGATATTAGAGAAAAGGTCTTCACTGAAAGGCTGGTCAGGCATTGGCACATGATGCCCAGGGCTGTGGTGGAGTCACCATCCCTGGAGGTGGTCAAAAGATCTATGGATGTGGCACTTTGGGACATGGCTTAGTGGTGGGGGACTTGGGACTTGGCAGTGCTGGGGGAACTGCTGGACTCATTCTTACGGGGTTTTCCAACCCAAACAACTCTGCCTGATGGCCTGTAGAATTCCTGCTCCCCATGCTGAACTGGCCACGCACACACCTCCCAAAGAGCCCCAGACAGCAGCACTGCAGCAACTCATGGAGCTCCAGGTCAGGGGACAGAAAAATAATCACCCCAAGCTGTAGGGGAGGTTGTTTCAGCAAAACTTGCTAAACACTGACCCAAGAATAGCCACAAGGAAAGGAATCAAACCTCCCAAACAGCACAACTGCCTCGGGTGCCTCAGGGGGGAGCAAGGGGAAGGTTTAAGACACAAAACACCAGTTTTGCTTAAGGCAGCCAGAAAGCTCTGCAGCAGTCACTGCATGGCTACCTTTGCTCCTTCAGAACAAGGAATTAATGCTCCTCCGCTTTGGAACACTGGGCACTTGTTCCCAGCTGTGGTGGCCCAAGGCCAGCTTGTTCCTTTCTCCCAGCCTGGCCAGCTCAGATGCCTCCTCCACTGCCAGCAGCAGAGCAGGATGTGTCTCCCAAGCCACCTCCAGCAGCTGGGGCTGGGCCAGGGCAGGACCACACAGCTTCAGCTGGACACAGGGACCACAGACACTGGGAAGAGAGAAGTTGGGGTATGGTCCTTGTGGCTTCAGGATGCCAATGCACTGCTCATTCAAAATGCCTTTTTTCTCTATACCCCAACAACTTGCTCTTCCTACCCAAAGAAATGTTTAGAGTTGAGCAACAAACAGATTTGCTCATGAAAGGACAAGAATGGTAAATACACCCAACCCCCACTCGCCCCGAGGTGGTTTCACCTGACTAAACAATAAAAACAAAATCTTCTCACACAGGGAAGGGCTCTCTGTGGACACAGAGAGGCAGAAACACAATAAAATAGAACCTGTGGGTGCCAAATCCAGGGAAGAGAAAGCCATGAGCTGTGGGACCCAACAGCTCCAGCTCCCCCCAGCACCCCACGTGCCTTGTGCTCTGGCTCCAGAGCTGACCCCAGCTCTTCTCAAGTGGATCAGGGACTGGGGTGCTGCAGACAGCTCATGATGAAATCAGAGCACCAACAAACTTTATCAAGTCACAGCTTCCAAAAAGGAAGGGGACAGTGTTGGGCTTGGTGAGATCATAGGGATTTCTGCATGAAGACAGACAAACAACCCCCAGGCCACTCCAGGTCACCCAGAAATCAGTGCCTGTGGTCAGAGCAAGCCAGCCTCTGCAGGAGGCTTAAAAAAAACCACAATGAAGGTCACTAGAGATAGTTGAGAGAGGGACAGGGCAAGACTGGAGCCTCAGGGAGAAGGACAGAGCAGCCACAAGAGGAAAGGAAACCACATGAGCCAAAGTAAATGGGCAAAAGGCACAGGTAAAGGAAAAAAAAAAAAAAAAAAAAAAAAAAAAAAAAAAAGCAAGCAAGCCAGAGAGTTTAAGGGAATTATTTAATGGTGATCAAATTGCAACACAATACAAGAGTACAGACAGTGTTAGCATGGATCTAGTCACACACACTTCCAGATGAGGGAGGGGCAGTGAGGATCAGCTGCAGGGATCCCTCCTGGAGCCTCCAAGTGCAGTCACTCACACAGGGTTTGTCTCCATGCCTCCTGAGAGCTGCACAGCAGGATTTGGTCCTGCTTTTAACCTTCCAGACACCCTCAATGCTCTTTTCCCTGTGCATTCCTTGTAGGAAACCGTGTTTACCAAACCCCAGCAACTGAGATCTTCAGCTTTTTGCTCCAAGCCTACCCAAAGAGCCAAGGAATGGAAGGAAGCAGTAACTGTGGGGATGAAACTCCATTCCAGCGACCTGTAGGAGAATGAGGGAGGCTTCCCTGATGCTGCAAGGATGAGACTTCTGAGATTCTGTATTTAACGGGGACAGCCTTCCTGCCACTCAGATACACCTCCAGGCTTTTATTCTCCCAGGAGGTGACTTCCAAGCTCTGCCTGGATGCACTGGCATGTCTGGAGCCTTAGCCAAGGGCTCCTCCACCTGGAATGGGAGCGCTGAGCACATTCAGAGGTGGTTTGTTATCCTGGTTCTTTAGAGCAAGGTGACACATTCACTCCTGCCAGCAGTTTTGCCACCTCCCACACCCCCGGGGCTCCTGCCTTGCTCCCCCCCAGAAAGAGCTGCTCAGGCACAAAGAAATCCACCTTTCACTGGGCAGAGCTTCCCTGGGGATTCTCACCTTCTCCTGGACATCAGAACTGGCAACAAGAGCAGCTCTAGAGATATTTTGCTGCTGAAGATGACCAAGACTGTCAAAAAACTGAGCCAGGCACTGGTGCCACACATCAGGACAGACCCTCGGAGGCATGGGACAGGGAACAGTTTGCTACACTTACTAAGGACGCAAGATCATATCCAACACAGCCCTGCTGGTTTCCCCATGCATCATTTGATGGATGCAGACTGAAAAGTAAAGTATGAGGACACTTCAGGATGCAGCTTACTTGGAAGCACTGGGATAACATAATAACTAAATTTAAAAATCCCTCTTGCCTTGCCCAAAAGCTATGACAGAAATGCAGCAGCACATCCCACCACAGGACAAGTTGGGTGTTTCAAGCACAGTAATCAGGTCTCCAGCACTTCCCAGGATCAGCTCCATCCCAGCCTGCAGGTCCAGAAAGGTTGGGCTTTGAGCCACAGGAATGTTTAAACCAGCTCCTGCACACTGACAAGTGGCTGCTCATGCTGAGCCAAGTGAGGCTCCAAAATACATGGATCACATTCCTCCTCTGGGTCACTCTGAGCACTGGACAGGCACTGATGAGCACAAGAAATGTATCCAGGCACAGTGTTCCAGCTTTGCTGCCAGAGTTGGGGGGTTCTAAGCAGCCCAGCACTATTTTTAAATAAAACACACTTAGCACACAACAGGCAAAAAGGGAATTGCATGAACAATCTACATCCACAGAAAGCCCAGCACAAAGAAAGCCATGCAAAGGGAATCGGGCAACTTAAATTACTAAACCAAGATAACACAACTGGACAGGGATGGAAAAGGTTGATGATAGGCTCAGAATTCCTAGAAAGGTAATGACCCTGGCTTCATGTGCTGTTTGACATTAGAACATCTTCAAAGAAGCAAGATTCTAGTCCCAAAAACAGCTAAGCTGGGTCAGGTTTTCAGTTAAACGTTAAGGGCTCCTCCACCTAGCTCACAGTACAACCCTGAATAAAAAATGGTCAACCCACAGGAGGCATACAGAGCACATCCTCCCATGTCAAACATCACCACACCTGCTTTTACCACACAACTGTGGTCATGCCATCAGCAAAAGTTCAGAACTGTTTAACTGCAAACGAGCTCATCCCAACACGAGCAGATGTGCTGATGCATCCTCCAAGCTGAAGCTGTTACAGGTTCAGGACTGTTTCAATGCATGTGTGGCTTGTTAATGCCTTGTCACCTCGTGTTTGTGGCTCCTGCCCCACCAGAACGAGAAACCATCCTCCTCAGTTCCCTCAGCTGTCACTGCCCCCTCCTCTCTGTGTCTCTCCCCCCATACTGTCTCTGCTCTCTTCCAGTAACTGCCAATTTCCAAAAGCAGCCAGATCTGCCACAAAAACCATTCCTGGGTGGCTCAGTTACAAGGCAGTTAAAGAGAACCCCCCCAAACACAATCAGTGCAACCCTTTCCCTGTGACCCCATGGAAAAACACGGGAGGGCAACTCCACCATAGCTGAGGTGTATTGGAGAGTCCAGCAGGAGCACAACAGCTCAGGAAAGGCAAGGCCACAGATCCAGGCTGGCACAAAGCCCAGCCACACCAGCAGCCACCAGCTTACACTCCAGTTTTGATGCCACAGGTGCTATCCAGGGCCACAGGCTGCTTCCCAGACAGTCCAGACACCAACACCCGGTGGATACCACGAGTGCCGTGACTTTCAGGTGACCACCCGAGCTTTGCAGCCCTGCACAGCAATCTCTCCCCTTCCCCTGTGACCCTCCAGTGTCCCTCAGCCAGGACACGTGGCCACGGGCTCCCTTCCCTCTCCAGGGAAGCTCTGCTCCGTCCCCAGACCTGCAGGGTCCTCGTGCCTCTGGAGAGGGACACAGCTCCCTGCAGGAGAGCTCACACCTGCCCAGCACTGCACCACCAGGACAGCGAGAGATGAGACAAGAGGAACAGATTTAGACCAAAAGCAGTGGACATTTATTCCTCGTTTGTGCAAGAGTGTCAAGATGCATTTGGGAATGGCTGGGACAGACCCTGTGGCCGGAGAGCCAGCGGCTCCAGCCTCTCCTGCCCGATGGCTTGGGTTACAATTCTACTAAGAGGAGATAAACTTGCAGACTCACCTACTGTCACACCAACGATGCTGGCAAATACACTTGTATACAAAGAAAAGTTTCAAACTACATTTTTTTTTCACTAGATTCAAGTGAAGACTTTGTTCCAAAAAAAAAAAAAAAAAAAAAAAAAAAAAAAAAGAAAAAAAAGACACATACAAGTACAATTTAAAACTGTATGAACATTTGCAAATGTTTAGTGCAAAGTAATTATGTAAAAGCTACATTTTATGAAAGTTTGTGCTGATGTGTTTGGTAGGTTTTTTTCTTTTTTTTACCCTTTTACATCCATTTTTTTTAGTTACATAAGGTTTCACTTACCTACAGTACATATGCATTGTGTTAGGTCCCATGCAAGTGGGAGTAATACCATCAGGCTTTGTAAAATGTCACTCTGATTCGCATTTAGTAAACTGCTTATTTGGTTTAACAGTCAAGTTCCTGGCACACTACACATCCTGATTTCATCTAAGTGCTCAAGCTCCTGTTTGCCTCTTCAGGTGCCTTGTGTGATGCAAACCAAGCTGCTTCACGACTTCAGCCCAAAAAGTTTTTTTAGAGAAATCCACCGTTAGTTTAAGCCTGTAACAAACTGCTCTGAAAATTAAAAGCCTATTCACACAAAGTTATATGTAATGACTGTAGTAATCAGTTTATTACACAGATTAATTCATTCTTGAACGTACAAGCTCCAGGGGAGCAGTTGGGTCTTTAAATACACACAAGTTTTCTGTCATATGGATTTTTTTTTTTTTTTTACCCTTACATCCAGAAAGACCTAAGCAGTTAAAAAACTTAAGAAAAAATAAGAGCTATTAGCTAGGTATTAACTGAGAAACCACATACAAACCAAAAAAAGTATGAAGGGAGGGAGAGAGTTGAAACAAATCAACATCACTTGATGCACTAATAGCTCCAATCCATTTAAATGGTGACCGGTTAAACTTAGACCTTAAACACAGGATGTGGGTACAGTTTCTCATTGGTCATAACATTTACCTAAGGTGTAGGTCCTTCAGAATAAAATGAATACAGAAACAGCTTCAAGTTCTTCACCTTGCTTTTCATAACTGTTATGAGTTTAAAAGGATTCCACTTAAAATCCTTCATGGATCGACAACACTGTCCCTAGAAAATCTGAAACCCACCAGAACTCTCCCCATTCCCATTTGATTTCCTAATTTAACTCAGCAAGGAATGCTTTTAGGCTCACAAAGTTATGACTGAAGAACCAGCTTTTCACACACACACTTCTCTGCTAGGAGTCAATGTTGGTACGGGGAAATACAGTATTTCTAGTTTGTTGTTCCAAGTATGTACAACACGCAGCACTGCTGTATCAGGTAAACATGTGCACAGGGGAAGATGAGGCGTGGGCTCATAGAAAGCAGTCAAATGGAAATCAAAAGGACTTTCTCTTTCAGAGTTCCCCTATCTTTATTTGTAGAGGTTATCCAATAATTTCTTTAATTACATCGCATACTTCTGAGTCCATTCCCGAGCTATTCTGTTGTACCTGTATGTATAAAAAGAGGATTTACTTAACATGGCATCTGCACAGCATTTCAGCTCCAGCCCTCTAGTCTACACATGGCATGAAACCAGAGTACTATCATCAATTTGGAAAATTGATGAGCAAAATTAAACATTAAGTAAACAGGGGAAACAAGAAAGCCCACAGTGCTTCATGGAAAAGAAGTACCTGGTCATATTTACAACAGGAATACAAGATCTTTGTGATTGGAGGCACAAAACTGAGCTTGAACAGGGATGAGGGGAAAGGATTTTCAGGAAGGCTTTATCTGTGCCTCCCCCAGCCCCATCTGCTGTGTCCCTGGGGAAACTCTTACTGTAGGGTTTCACTTGGTCATTCTAGAAAACAGATAAAATGTGGTCCCCCATCTCTTGCTTCCCTGCAAAGTTAAGCCCAGTACCTGCCATCAACTTATCTGCTAAACCCCAACAGCCTCATTTCTTCCTACACATTTGGCTGTTTTGGTGACTGTCAGGACACAATGATTTGTCCATCAGAATCTTTTTATTCTGAAGGCAAAATATAATTCAATTCCCAAGAAATCTGTAGCTTCTGCACCCAAATACCCTTTACAGCCAGAGGGAGCTCAGGATACTTGTGTAAAACAAAGCAGTTGTGTGATTAGCTTCTCTCTGACAAGCTGTTCACGTTCTACAGAATTTGTAGGGTAGGACACAGCCTGAAGTTTCCTATAGCTATGTACACCAAGTTGGTTTGTGCTGGAATTTAATCTGTAGATCATGTTCTTTGGCTTAAACAATCTGAGAATCCACTCATAACCAACTCTCCTTCATATCACTGCTCAGAGACTACCCAAGGAGCAGGTCCTTCTGTTTAAACCCAAAATTTATTTCCCTATTTTCAGAAAAAATAGGAGGGAGTTCTGCACACTTAAAAGTTCAGATAATCACTGTTGATTGTGTCTCCAAATATGTGTTGCTCCTCAAATATGCAGTAGAGGAAGCAAATTTGTGGACTATTTTCCCTTCCCTGATCAGATCTGCAAGGGAACAGTGAGGTAGGAAGTGTTTACACCAATACTAAAATGCTGAAGTGCTTGTTAGCACTGAAATTTCTCTACACTTGTTGCAGTCCTGCCCCACTTCTATACCACTGGTTCTTCCCTTGTGATGTCGAGTAAAGGTAAAAGAGGGAGGTTTTGTTATTTCTTTGTATGATTCCAGACCCAGAGCTGCCATGGAATATTCTCCCGTTGGAGTAACTTGCTCTCCCTCTGGTGGTTATATGGGATTAAAGCAGCTCAGACATTGGCACTATAAAGATCCCAGGGAAAAAACAACCAAAAAAAAAATCTCTAAGAAGACCACAGAGCTTTGATTTGCCTCTTTTCACTCTCACTCTTGTTCAAGAAGCAGTTCCTCTCAGTTCCCCTTTACTGTGTAAGTGTGGATTCTGCCCTGTCAAATTCCATGGGTTTTGGCTTCCATACTCACTTTTCTCTATCTGTTTTGTAGATCCGTGCAATCTCAGGCACTAAAGGATCATCTGGATTGGGATCACACAACAGAGAACAGATGGACAAAAGTACTAAGGAGAGAAAACAGACACTGAATTAGTTCCAGGACAACTGAGGACACCTGCACCAGTCAGCCTATGCACTTCCTTCCCCTCCAGCCAGTAGCATCAGCAGCATTTGTTTCAGTTTGCCAAAGAGCACCAGTCCCATGTAATTCAGCTGAGTGATTTTGAACAAACTCCTTTTACCAGTGAACTACACAACTTTTCACAACCACAATATCACAGTGAGTAACCTTCTGGATAGGTCTATCAGTATTCTGCCTGAGCCTGGTACCTGAGAGTCCTCTGGGAAAACATCCTTGCTTTTGCACCCAAAATTCAACTGTTCCCTTAAGCAGGCACATCACTGTTGGATTACTTGGAGAAGCATTAATTCAAAGTCAAACAGCAGACAAATCTAGCTGAAATGAAGGAAGCAAGGGCTGTTCACAGCTACTTAAGAATCACAGAACGGTTTGGGTCGGCAGGGACCTTAAAACTCATCTTGTTCAAACCCCTGCTATGGGCAGGGGCACCTTCTACCAGCACAGGTTGCTCCAAGCCCATCCACCCTGGCCCTGAAGATGTGTTTAAAAATAAGCTGGTCTTGCAGTGAATTAAGAGGCTTAATTATTTTCCAAGCATAAGGGAAGTTGAGATGGATTTAGTGTAGAACAGCATTCAAAATGACCCAAGAATGCCCGGCTCCTCGCACTGCTATCGACCACAGACCCCAGAATGTGAGTGTTTCACTATAAATACATAGTGTATGTATCCCAGAAGGCACACTCTGCTCGGCAGAGTGACAACCCTCACCCATACAAGGAGCCAGGACACTGCTGCAAAGCCACAAATAGCACATGGACATTCCTACACTCACTGCAGAGGAGAAGGGAGGAGAAGGCAGGAAGTTATGAGCAAAGCATATTGGGACAACACTACACCAGGCATGGCAGGGACATCTTGCCCCATTCCTGAAAATGCCAAACATTCCCTTCTCTCAGCCTGTTTGGATCAAACAGTGCCACTCCATATGTCCCTTCACCAATTGCAGCAAAGCAGTTGTCACAGTGCAGCCTCCAAGCAAGGTGCAGATGACAAGAGTGAGGAGTTTGAAGACACTAAACATGAATCTGCTCCAATTTCCATCACTTGCAGGAGGCAGAGCTATCTATGAAAAACAAAAGGAAACAGCATGCAGCCCATAAAAACAACAAAGGAGTTAAAATAGGTTAAAACACAGCCACAAAACAGATCTCAGAATAGCTTGGGTTAGAAAGCCCTTCAAAGTCCATCTCAATCCAGCCCCTGCCACAGGCAGGGACACCTTCCACTATCCCAGGTTGCTCCAAGCCCTGTCCAACCTGGCCTTGGATACTTCCAGGGACAGGGCAGCCACAGCTTCTCTGGACAACCTGTGCCAGGGCCTCACCACATTCCAGAGAAAAGATGGAAACGGGTCTGATATTCAGGATTTTTTTTAAAAAAGAGTGAAAGCTTCCCTTAGGTCTGAATTGCACAAGTTGCTCTGTGTTGTGAGCACCAAGAATGCACAAAGCCACTTAGTTCAGTTTTCCCTCCTGTTTCTATAGACCCTTAACTAAGGAATCATCAATTCCCAGTTCAAAGCCTCTAAAACAAGTTTGGTAATAATCTGGTCTTGGTTTGGGTGAACATATTTCTGGTTCTAGAAAATGGAGCAAACCCCTTCTCCCTTTTCCCAGTTCTCTGCAGTGCACTTGTGAGTCAAGAGCTTCATGATTCTCCCACCATCAACTGACACAGGGACCATGTACTGAGCTCCCTCTCAGCTCAGAGTGAGGAGGTCTGCAGACATCACTGCTGCTCAACTGCTGTCCCTTAGCAAGGCACCACATTTAGCTCCTGTAGTACAGACCCAGCACCAGTTCTTTTCCCCCCCTATAAATCAAGTATAGCCCATGTTAGTTTTCAGTGGGAACCTCTCTGCCACCTCACACTGCTCCCAGTCAATGCAGTTTCAAAACAGCCATTCCTCCAGCAATTTTCCTGTAGCTCATTTCTTTCTGTCTGTCAAACTCCACTGCTCTGGTCACTGAAGTTTCTTCAGCTGTAGGATGAGCAAGGCAGGTCCAATCTGTCCCCTGCCTTCACCAGAAGACACAGGAAATCCAATCAAAAGTTTTCTGGTCAACTGTTGTAACTACTCCCTCAAGTTTTATCTTATCACAGTCCTTTAAAAACCCAAGGACTTTTTTGAACACAGTGGCTCAGCCTTCATCAGCAGAACCACACTGCAGGTCTGTCCAATGCTCTCTGCCCACCCTCACACCCCTTTTCATAACACTCAGCAGTTCACTTTTCAGTATCACTCCAAAAACACTGAATAAAAATGGACACAATCATTTGGCTTCAAGCTGCGCTGCCGCATTCAACTGCTTTGATTTATTTTTCTAAGTCTTCATTATCCCAAACTATTCTCATTACACTCACTCTTGCTGGTGACTTCACATCATTCCCCTTTTATCTGTACAGCCTTAGCAAAAAAAAGAAGAAAGTGTTTTTAACTAAATTGGTTTAATTTTAATATCCTGCTGAACCCAGCTATTTGGCCAAAATCAATTCTGCAAGTTTCTCCTGAGGCTTTCCACTAGAACACTGCACATGCACACATTTTAGACCAGAAAAATACAGAAAAATCCCTTGGAAAAGGCACCACCTCAAAGCTTCCAGTGCAAGGGTAAAGGGGAAGCAACCCTTACAAATGTCAGCTGTGTATCAGAGCTCTTTGATGCATCAGAGTAATGAGTAAAACCAATACCATGGAATACCAGGCCATCAATCAAGTACTACTGCCATGAATTCCACAGCAAAACCCTGACATTCTCTAGTCAAATGACTACAACACTACTATCAAACAATAAAAAGAGAATTCCCAAAAAATTAAGGAACCACAGAATCAGGTTGAATAACCACACAAGGCAGGTAAGTGACACTTTGCACCTGAACATCCTGCATGGCTGTAGGCAAAGCATTATCAGCTTGGCAGCATCCCTTCAAGTCTCTCACTGGCAGGGATGTACCACAAGTACAAGGGATGTACCACAAGTGTGCAATCTTTGAATTCAAGTCTGGATTTTTCTCAGTAACAGAGAAGTAAATTTTACTTGCCATTGACTCAAGGGATTATTCATCCCATGAAATAATTCTGTACAGAATTATTTCTCATCACTCTCAGCTGTCAGAGCTGTCCAGACACTAAGCAACTTAAACCACTGTCAGTTTAAAGCTCCTTTTCACTCAAAAATTGGTTTTGCTTTGTTTTATTTCACCAGCTAGGCAGCATACTGACCTCCAGCCCTTCAACTACACTCCCCATCTATCTCTGCAGACAACAGACACAATTTACTCTTCAGTGTGCTTCCTGCTGCCATGGACTAGCACAGACCAAGTACTCCTCAACACCAAGGAGCCAGGAGAACCAAACTCATCAAGCAGAAGGGCTGCTAAAATGTGCTTCTAGAAAATGGGCTCAGCTTCCCCACAGAGCAATGACAGAAATGCATTTTCATCAGGCAGAATGATCACTGAACACTAAAGACTGCTTGAGTAACATGCAAAATAAATGCACCAGTGTAACACTGCACAGCTGAGATCCAAGTTCCCACTGCAAGACTTGACTTTACAAAGCATGTAACACTGAAATTCATGGGCAATCTTTCTCCAGGCAGCTCCTCTGTGCAGAAAATCATGACACTGACAGCATGTCAACAAGACCAGTTCCAGTTCCCCACTGCACAATCCAACTCAGCAGCTGCTCTGCTGTGCTCTCACACCACCAAGGTCAGCCCACCACCCTTGATGGGCAACTGCACCTTCCTGGTTCTGCCCCACCTCAGACTGAGCAGATGTGGATGCAAATTCCATATGTAAATTCCATGGCTGGGTTTTCTCTGCTCTGAAGCAGCTCAGCCATTACTCAGGACAATCCACAGGTCCTTCCAGCACTAGCTAAATGAGCAGTGCAGAAGAAAATTCAAAGCCCATCTGGCTGCTGGAACATGCAAATTTAGGTGTGTTAAAGCTCCTGGAACTCAAAGGTGAAGAGACTCTTAAAAGCAGTCAATCCTCATCCTCCAAAACACAAACCCCAAATCATTCACTTTGTCTGCAAAGCCTGACTGGTCTAATATCCACCACTCCAGCCACCCCCTTGACACAGGGCACCAACCACTACATGCTGTTTAAGTCTAGCTGGAATTCCAAACAAACTTGCTCCAGTAAAGCACTCATCCATGGGGCACTTCAGAGTAAGGAAAAGCAGCTGAGGAGCCATGGAATCTCTAGCAATTCACAGAAAGGAGATAAATGGCATTTTACTTTTCCAAGGCAATGAGCTACCCAGAAGAAACAGCTGCTGTTTGGTGCAGTTACTGCTCTCCAAAGAGGAGCCAATTTAGAATCCATCTAGGAATAAAGGTCCATCTCTAAGCAGGCACAGAGACTGCACCAACAAAATGTTTGTTGCAGTACCAAGAAGGTGCTGAGATGGTTGCTTTGCCTGTCAGATTGTCAGAATAGCAGGATGACACTCAGCTCTCCATCCTGGCTGGAGTCACACCAGTGTCAGGACCTCCTGATAATGGAAAAGCTCATGCAGTGACACAGAGCAGCTGGAGAAAACAGGGAAGCATCAATCCATGGCCATCATGGGTTCACAGCAATGGCAGCAGCTCACCCCACCTGCTCTGTCCTGGGTGAATGACAAACACTGTGCCAGGGCTTTCCAAAGAAAGCAATTTGTCACCTCCTAGAGACCAGACCATGGGTTCTGGCAGACAGTGCTGTGCTTCTGGTCCAGACCAGTTTCTGAGTGTGAAACTAACCATTTCTCAGATCAGGTTTAACTGAGCCTGGTATGCTGGGAGACACCTCTGCCAGCAGAAATGGGAGCTTTGGACATGTAACACTACTAAGGAACTATTAATTTCATTTTGAAGGGTTTATCCAGCTGTCCTGCTTCTCACACCAGCAAGGGCTCCTTTGTTCATCACCAGCCTGGCACATCAAGGTTCACTGCTTCTTCCATCTCTGTTCCTCAAAATCAGGAAAAAACCCAACTCCTGTAAGGAGCATTCTCCTACACAATCATTGTTTTTGATTTTCAGGCCCCCAAACCCTTGAAACTTGAGACTTACAGTTGTCAAAGCTTTATCAGTACTGGCAGATATTAAGCCTGCAGCATTAAACACTGGAAACACCACTGACCAACAGGTTCAAATGCCTGGCTCCTGATTGTGAACAGGCAAGATGTGTCCAAATAAAAGAAAGGAACTCTGGCCTCTGCTCAAGTTAAATCCTATTCCTTAACCACAACCCCATTTCCAACTCCTCCAGCCATCTTCCCCAGCCTTATAGGAAGTGTACCTTTAAATCTGAGCAGTTTAAACTTCTGGCTTCAAAGCAACTTGTATTCCTGCTAAGTCAGTTCAACAATTTCTGGTGACAAAAGAAGAAAAGTTAAGTGTTGCCCATTGTATCACAGACTGGTTGTGGTTGGACGGGGTCTCTGGAGATCATCTTGTCTCAAGCAGAGCCACCCAAGACAAGTTGTCCATGACAATGTCCAGGGGCTTTGGAGTATCTCTAAGGTGGGACTGCCCACAACCTCCCAAAGCAACCTGTGCTGGTGTTCAGCATCCTCACAGTAAAACTGCAACATCAAGTGTTTCCTGCTGTTCAGAGACCCTCCTGTGCTTCAGTTGGTGCCTCCTGCTTCTTGTCCTGTGCACCTGACTCATAGAGAAGAATCTGGCTCTGTCATCTCCACATCCTCCCTTCAAGTATTTACAGACACTGATAAGACCCCCCTGAAGCTCCTCCAGAGCAGTCCCAGCTCTCAGCCTGTTCTCAAAAGGGGAGATGTTCCAGTCCCTCAATGGCATTCCTGCCCTTTCACTGGGCTCTCTCCAGTACAGCCACATTCTCCTCGTCCAGAGAGCCCACACTGGACACATGCTCCAGGCACAACTTTGTCAGCATCCAACAGAGGGAAAGGATCACAGCCCTGCTGGCATCACTCCTCCAAGCACAGCCTTTGCTGGAGCAAGGGAAACTCCTGGGAAGCAGCACAAGTGGTTCAATTACAGTTGTGAGAGTTAAAACATGAAAATGGGCATTTCCCTCAGAACCCCAACTCAGCACAGCTGGAGAGATTGACCCATGCTCTGTGACAGAGCCACCCCCAGTTATGTGGGTAAACACTACAATGGACAAATTAAAAGCTAAGATAATCAGAAACCAACTTCCTGATTTTGAAAACAGCACTGTGAATGTCCAATTCAATCTCTTGGTACTATTACTTCCAGCAAGCCTTAGTGAAGTGATTCATGAAGAGCAACATCACAGAAAATCCTCACTGCACCAGGCACAGAGGTCTGGGCAGTGAGAGCTGAAGTCTTGCATGAATGAGGCTGAGGTTACTCACTGCCCCTCCCAGGCAGGGCCCTCCAGCACATTTGCACAGGATCCATGATTTATTTGTTACAAAACATAGGGAGAAGTGGGACAAGACAGCACCTTAGTCCAACCTTTACTGCAGAACTGCTTTTGTTCAGTATTAACAAGTACAGCCACTTGTCAAATTCAAGAGAGTGTTCTGCCCCCCAAAATGGCTGAGAATAGCTGCTAATAGTGTTAAAACACTTCATTCTCCTGTTTCAGGCAACAGGGATTCTTATTTATGCAGATTTGAAGATAATGTTTTTAATTTAAGTCTACACATTCTGCTTAAGCCTTGGAGTTCAAATTACCCACCATGGTGTGGTTAAGACTATATTTTGAGATTATTTATTCTCCAGTATGTATTCTTGAGGGAACACTGAGCTCAGGATTACTAATATAAGCAAGTCCACTGTTGTACTGAGACAGTCACTGCTGTTCTCCCAAGTTTTAACCATTTTAACAATTGTAGGAGGAACAGAACAGAACCCCAAAATGCCAGTCACCTCTGTCATAGCCACAATCACTTTATTAAATTGTTTACAGAGAGCTGGCCCCAGAGCATGAGGAGCTGAGACCACTACTACCTTTACCACTGAACTGAAATGATTAAGTAGCACCGACATGATTTTTCAGTGTTTCCACCAAAAAGTGGCACTTTTAACCCAAAGGAAGTCACTGTACACTCCTTCCCCTCTCTCCTTGCAGGTTAAGGTGAAAAACATCTTCATGTACCTCACATTAACTGTGAGCATAACAGCAAGCTGCTGACAGTGCTGCCTCCCAGCTGCCTCAGGAGGAAGCTGTGCATGATCAACTCTTTCCTACAAGGATTGTTTCTACTCTTCCCAGATTTCTCAGTCAGTAGGAAGTACATTTTTCATAGCTGCTCTAAGTTATCTGCTTACAGATTTTATATTCAAACATCTTGCTCCCAGTAGCATCCAATTTAAAGGGTGACACAATTTAGAAAATACTCTAAGAAATCTATACTGCAAATAATAAATTGCTGCTTTGGAAGAGGTGTGAGCTTATTGCTGAATGTTTTAAGTCTTATTATTCACCCTAAATTACCTAATCAAACAATTTTTCCTGCTAACATCACATTCACTCTTTGGATAAGGCTGATCAGTTACTAGAAAGCTGAAACACCCCTGAAGTCTGTCATGACACTTTCTAATCTGACTGAACAAAAGATTTCAACCCCAAAAGATTCAAGTTACCTTTGTTGTTTTAATTCCTTCAGTAAATGTAGCCCAAGGGAGCTGGGACAAGGTTTTCTCCCAGGTAAGAGCTGTGTGGATGTTGTGCTGTGTGCAGCAGAGTGTGGGCATTCAGTTGAACTGTTCAGCAACAAGAAGTGAGCAGCATGACCGAGCCTCCTAAACTCATGGGGGAGAGGGGCACTGGAAGGGGCAAAGCAGACAGCAACCCTGATCCCATGGCTTATTCCAGCTGAGTCACAAGGATATAGTTTAAAAAGGGTAAGAAAAGAGTTCAAAGCAGAACACAGAGGGATACTAAGATGTTAAAACATATTGCAAATGTATTTGGGCAATAAAATTAACACTAGGATGTATTTTCTGAGGGATTAAGGCTGACAGCCACTAATAGGTTCTGCCATCCTGGACCAGCCTCATAAATTCTTAACCCATCTTCTCCCAATTGTCCTAATTCCAGTCTATCTTCCACTATTTTCAGTCTTGCTGTCTATCACCCCACCACCCATATGGTCACTTCAGACTCCCTAAAACAATACAGCATTTTCTCCAGTTTAGCAGCAATTACATCAAACCAGAACAGACATCAGTGCTTGGGGCTAATCTGGTGCTTCTAAGAGCAGCCAGTACTGAGAGCACTTGTAAGGACTGCAGCAACATGACAATCATTTTTCTTCACTGACACCATTTTATCAATTCTTTCAAGACTCTGAGCCTTGTGCCCAAGCAGATTCACTTCTGACAAGAGACAAGGAGATATTGTTTTGCCTTTCCATCTGCTTCTGCAAATGCCTTTAGCTGGACAGAGAATGTGGGAACCTCTGTGGGTTCAGGGAAAGGCAGACAGTGATGATGTCCAAGGGATGTACCAGTATCACCTGTCTGAACCAGAAAGTGCCTGGGAACATCACATGTAGCTGGAGAGAAGGACAGGCAACAGGAGAGCCTCAGAGCAGGGACACTGTGAAGGACAATGTAATCAATGTGACAACTGCAGCATTTGATTACAAGGGCAGTGTGAAGCTACAGAACAGAAGGGTCAAGACATGATCATGCACAGGGTAGGCTGCAAATATTCCTAAATAGCTATGGCTAGACCTACAAACTTGACCCACAGTTTGTAAATCTACAGTTTCAATAGCCAAAAAAAAAAAAATCCAGCCTGTATCTTCTTTCAAGATGTTTAAAGCCTCCTATTTCTATTAAATATGAATACTGCTTTACCAGGCAAAATATATTCCAGTGCCCCACAAATTAACACAGGTCACAGGGACCAAGATGCTATTAGCTAATTATTTTAGATTGTTCACGCTAGGCAAGTTTTAAACTATGTTTCAGTAATCCACACCACTGGAAGTTCTGTTAAAAAATTACCAACATGGAATTCTGATGTTCCCTTGAAAGAGAAATTCTTTTTTATATGACAAAAAATTAGCAACTTCACCATTTTATAAAAGCCACAGCTGCTCCCTTTTATATTTTACTCTGGGCATACCTTGAACAATAAAGTCTTCTGCTGTCACACACTAAGTTTTATTTTATATGTATTTATATCTATTTTTAGTTTAAGTGTTCTGAGGTGAGGTGGCAGGAGTTTGTACTCAGTGTAGTAAGACTTATCTGATCCTCTGGCAAAGCTGAGGAGTCTCCCTATGGCCACAGGGAAGCTGGATGTCTTGAGCATCCCATGCTCAGGAATTGGCTGCAAGCTCCAAGTAGAGTCACAGGACAGAAGCAGTGACCACAGAAATGGTGGAATCCAGCAGGAAATGCAGCAGTTTTTACATCCCAAATCAGTACTTCGTTTTAGCAGAGTAAAATGAAATAAGCATTGGAGGTACCTTTTGAAATAGTTAGTGCTGGGGACCACTGTGATCGTAGAATATCAAGACAAATGCTGCCATTACTGTTAATATTTGGATGATAGATTCTTGTTGTAAATGCAACCTGCAGAAGAAGGAAAATTTCAGTGTAGGCTCACAAATATACATCACACCACATGGTAAAGGACAGATTTATGGCAGAAGCCACTCACCTTAGGTGGTTTGAAGGGATAATCTGTTGGGAAGTGAATTGTCAAGAAAAATACTCCACCTTGATAGGGACTGTCGTTCTGTTAATGAAAAAGAATCATTGCAGCTTGAGGAGTTACTACAAGACCACGAGTCATAAAAAGCCATGAACATCAATTCTCTCATACTTACTGGTCCCATTATTGTAGCTTGCCAATGGAACACTGAAAAAGAGAGAGATTTACTTCAGTTTGGAGAAGCTCAAGTAATGATCTACTTTCTTCCAGACAAAGCAGCACAGAAAAGAAAAGTCTATTTTAAAAACAAAGGCTTGTGAAAGGCCGCAGGGAAGTGAGCCAAGGAATTAAAGAGAGACAGAGCAAAGCACTCGACACTCTACAGTCCTCACTCTGGGACTGCTGTGGTATCACATATGTGCCCTGCAAAAAATCACATTACAAGAAAAATCCCCATAGTTCTAAGCAACTTTTCAGACTCAAAATTGTGAGTTTAAACTTTGCAATTTTAATGAAACAGCTGAATCAGCACCCATGACTGGCCTCTTAAAGCCAGCTACAGCAAAGGTCTAGCATGAATTCACACCTGCTCTCCTACTCAGATCTGTGACACATGGAGGGGAAGCCCAAGATCTGCATAAAACACACATACAGAGGTGACCTAAACCAGCGGTGTCCTCACAATATTTAAGTGTAATATTAATCTCCACAGAGACCTCAAGATTTCATTAAAGCAGCAGAAAGAACTGTCCTAAGAGAATGCAGGAATGACAGTCTGCCCCATACTTGGAGCAGGATGTGCCAGGACACACTTCAGGTTAAATAGACAGAAGTTTATCCTCACTTGTATGCATCTGCCCAAGAGAACTTTCACCTGGTAACACACAGGATTTGTGAAGAATGTTGCTGTGCTGGAAAGAAAAACAGTCAAAGCTGATAATCTGTAGGAGGAGCACTGTGGAGTTCTTAGGATTCCTGCATCTCAACAGGCTCCAGCACCTGTGCAAAGAGCACCAGCCTAGAAAAATATTGGTGAATTAATACTATGGAAGCTTCCCCCAGCATGGACGTCACCTACACAGCACTTTCAGAGCTGGGGAGTTGTAGATGACTCCAGTTGTTTCAAGGGAAGTCTTCAAGACAGGAGATGAAGCCACCTGGAAGTGTGTGTGCCTCACTGGCACCTGGTGTCCACAGCTGTCAGGACTGCCTGGGCCAAAAGCAGGAGTGGTACTACCTGTTCTCATCTAGCACGAGCAGTTTTTAATTACACATGGTACTGGCATTACAGCTCAGAATGATCTCATACAAGGAAGGAGGAAAAAAGCAGAGTGGGAGCAGCCCTGCAAGGCCAGGGGAGAAGAGTGTTGGGTTGGAACAAGTTTGTTTTCATCAACTCCTACATTTCTACAGGAATGTGTAACTTTCTATACACTTCAGCACTGCTGAGTAGTTCAGAAATTATTCAGAAATATCTTAGCAGCTTATTTTTTTCCTTTTAGAAAGGATACCTGAGCTTAGAGTTCTCAGCTCTAACAGAGATAGAGGATTTGACTACTTAAATATTCACTTTCTCAGGAGCCTGGCTTTGAGAAACTCTACATCCAATGCAGAATTAGGAAATCAAGACAGCAGCTCACATGTAGCATTCACCCATCTTCAAGGGGTTCAGACAGTTTCCCAGGAGCTCCCTGTCACTGCAGCAGGACAGGGAGAAACCTGGAGGAGAGGACAAAGGGGCAGCAGAAATCCCACAGGAGATTGTAGCCAATCACAACAGAACCAGTAACAACCTCACAGATCCTGATGAGATTCACTGTGATTGCTCTGCAGAGGCACCACTGGAAAGAGAACCTCAAATAGCCAATGATTCCCTTAAACCAAACAAAACCCCAGAAATAAAAACATATCCACAGGCAATCTTAACTTTTTAAAAGCTAGAAGGGAGGTGTGTGTTTCCTCCCACTCAACTCCCACCCCAGACCTGGATGCTTGTTTAACCTAAGCTTTAAATCCTGGTAACATCCAGGACGAGTCTGGTGAATGCAGAGATGGATTTGTCATGCAGAGCTTATTCCAACTGATTCTTTCCTTTGAAATCAGCCATACAGAGGCATTTACAAAGGCAGGGGGCTGTTGGTTTTCAGTAGGTAAGCACAGGTACATGCTTGGAAAAGGCTAAGCCACTGGAAGCGTACCAATGTCATCAAGGCCCCAGCACATTTCCAAAACACAGGCCAGAGGTGGGTGGAAGAAAGCTAAAACTACATTGACAAGAAAATCCCATTCCTACGGTGCACAAGGCAGGAACAGCCCTTTACTTTCTGAGGTTCATGAACTACAGGGATGAGAAGCTTACAGCTGGGGACAGTTTGTATCAGCTGGAATAGCCACAGGACAGCACTCTGCAAGCACAGCATGTCCTGAACTCTGGGAAATGTCGCTCTGACAAGGCAGCTGCAGCAGACCTGGAGCACAGGGACCTGGGAGAAGGCACCTTTCTGTTGCTGCCACTGCTATCCACTTACACACATCCAAATTGTGGCTCTCAAGAACAGAAGTCTTTCATTAGAGGTCTTTCAGAAAGGTGGCAGCAGCAGAACTCAATAGTACTTTAAAGCTTTCTGTACTCAGTAGTAACTTTCCATTCTCAGCCTTCACCAACTTTTGTTACCACCTCCTCTGCCAGACAATCGTCATCACCTTTGATAAGGCTTTGGAAAACACAAAGTAGTTTATCATGGCACAAATCACACTTGCTAATTTAAGGAAATAAAAGCCTCTCACTGGCTCTCCATCTTAGTAATTTCTTGTCCCTGAAACTACAAACCTCTTTGAAATACTATTTGGAAAACAGAAATAGATTGTGAAGTAACTACTGCTAAAACACCCTCAAAACCAAGCTGGGCTTCCACTCATTTGAAAAAGCTACTGAAAAGGAACATTCCCACTAATTTCAGTATTTTCACCCTCAGGTTTCAAGTGATTTTTTTTTAAAATGTAGCCCTACATTTCTACAGAAATGTGTAACCTTCTATACACTTCAACACTGCTGAGTAACTCAGAAATGATTCAGAAGGATCTTGGCAGCATTTTTTCATTTTAGAAAGGATACCTGAGCTTAGAGCTCCCAGCACAGAGAAGGGGGGGTTTCCCTGCTTCACTCTCCCCTCTCTCAGGAGCCTGGATGCTTTGCTGACATCACTTGTCAGAGCACACTGCACAGCAAATTCAGTGTGTGCTGTTTAGGGGGCACTGCAGTCACAGCTTCCAAGGGTTCTCACATGTCAGAGCTGCTACAGCAAAGAGTGTGAGCACAGACCACAGCAACAACTCCCAGTCACACCCCAGGTGAACACACTTGCACAGGAAGGCCAAGAAGATTTTCTGAGGCTGTCCCTTAGACAGGACTTGGCAGGGTATGCTGATCTGAGTACAGTTTTCAGACACCACATACAGTTTAGATTTCTGAGTTCAGAAGGCTGTGGGCAGCTGCCTGCTGGTTTGACCACAGATCTACTGAGGTTTTCTAACACCATCCGGCATGAGAATTCCAGAACAATTAATTTAAAAGGTGCAATTTAAGACATGCATTGAGTTGCCCAATCAATAGAGTGGGAATAACACCACTGGCACACAGGGAAGGTGTAAGAGATACGGAAGAGAAGCAAATTTAAGACCAGGAGTGTTATCTAGTACTCTAAAAATTCTCCTTGCTAAGAATCTGGACATCCCATTTCAGAAGGAAAAGGAAAAACGTGGGAGAGGGCAGGTGCTTGCTGAGAGCAGATACTTACTGTCATCCCCGACAGGCCCTGCTGAACACTGTGCTGGAGGATCACGTGCCAGGTCGTTCAACTCCTAAAAAACAGGATGAGTTTGTTTCACTTCATTTCAAAAACAACCATGTCATTGCTCAAAGGCTGCTAGGGGCACTCTGGCAGCACCACAGAACTAATAACCAGGACTCTGGAAAGTAAAGTTGCATCTTAAACCCAGGAGACATATCTGGCACAGGCCTCAGTGACCAGTCCAGGCTCCAGAGCCCTGAGTCACAGCAATCCTCACGTCGCAGGGGTTGTCAGGTCTGCCTGCACTGGTCCCAAGCATTACCAAGGTATTTTATCTTCCACCAGCCCTGGGTCACAGAAAGATAAGATGGCCTCAATCCAACAACTCTCAGTATCAGCCTTATTTTATCCCCTCAATTGTAACAGTTCTAGTGCTGCTCCAGCTACAGTGATCCAGTTTGTCACCTCCACAGCCAGCCTGCAGCACACACAGCTCCCACAATCTGGGGCTGCTTTGCCTCCACACACACACACACACACACCAGTGACCATGGGTGGAATGGAATGAAACACAAGGCCTCCTGTACCTAGAGACCTCACTGAAACCCTGGGCTTTTCACTTGCTGTATCAGTCAAGTTTTCCTCAGAAAAAATCCTATTTTGAGTCTGAACAGGCTGAGTAACTCACAGTACACCTCAACTACACTATTTTGCTTCAATTCGAAGCAAAATTTCAGCACAGTTCAAAGAGTTACTGTTACCAGTAATTCACATCAGCCATTTGGTCACGAAGGTGACGTTTGGTGGGAAGTCCAAATAGAGTAAAACTTTAAAGTCAAACTTTACCTGCCCCATTTCTGGCTCAGTCACTGACATGCTTTACATGATGAGCCTGAACATATTACCATTTTTCTCTGTGAAGTCAGTCTAGAAAGCTGAACACACACCAGATAAGGATTACAACTATTATCTAGTGCTCAGGAAACACTCCCATGCTGTCCCTGCACCATTGTGTGTTCAGCTTTTCACCTCCCAGAACAGTCCAAACTGGAATCTCCATACCAGGCTTTTGGCAGACAAAACATTTAAGTGCAATGATTAAGACAAGCTGATTGCAGGAATGGAAGAATTTTGCCATTTAATGGCCTTTTGTTATTTACAGGCAGTGATTAAGCTCTTGAACAGATGATCTCTGGCAGTTCCAGCTTCTACTTCCCAGGAACTGGGAGGCCACCACTAACCAAACCCACAAGACACAAATGCTTCCTCACATCAAACACGTACATCTCTGGATTTCCCCCTCTGGATGCAGTGCCCCAGAAAATTTCACAGGCCCTGACACACATACACAAGTTTGGATTTTGCCCTCAGCAGCTTCCAGCTTCTAGAGAGCCCTGCTGGAGGCCTCACTGACTTGACACCAGACTGTGGAAGCTTTTCAAGTGCTCCTGCTGGGCTTTTTCCACTTGGTGTTCAGCATGGACATGAGCAGGAACAGACACTGAGCATGCAGCACCTGCTGAAGAGCCTTCTCCCTCCTGGAGGTGCAGAGAGTATCTCCAAGTGTTCTGCAAAAGCACAAAGCCATCTGGAGTTGCTTCAGCACCCTGAACCACCAGGACAGCACAGGAAAGTGCAGAAACCAGCACACACCTTCCTCGGGGGGGTCAGTCTAGTCATGGCTACAAAAAATGAAGTGAGTCTATACACACAACAGGCATATAGACTTTAAAACAGCAATGTATCTACTCTTTCTAAAGGTGTATGGAGTACAGTCCACATCCAAACAGTATTGGACTGTGATTTTTTGGAGAAAAAAATAATCTTTTTTTTCTAATGCTATTATATTCAAAACCCCAAGCACACAACTAAAAAAAAATACTCCTTACCACTTCATGTATCAATACTGTACATCCACAAGACTCAAAAGGTACAACTGTAAGAATCCATGTTTTCCATGCATGACCACAACCTAGCATGGATCAGATTTATGACCACACAACATGAACCTTCCCTGCTCATGTTACAAAGATGAGCTTGGGCACACATTCTACCAGTTAGTAGAATACACAGCTCCAGAGCTGCCCTGACACTTCCCAGATATCCTGCTGCACAAATGCACAGCCAAACTGCATATAACAGAGGGAACACAAAGGTAAGTCCCAAACAGACACAGAGGCAGCACTGAAGTTCAGGTAATAGCAGTTTCTCATCAAAATACTATTTCATTCTCTACATCTTCATTTCCAGGGAGATTTCTGAATTTTCTGAAGCCCTGGGTAGGTATTATCTCAGTAGAAAGTGATGACTTACAACAACCACTTGTACTACTTGTCTCAGTGACAAGGTGGCATTTCAGGTTCTGCACCATAAATTCACAGAGTCAAACATCACAGACTAAAATAGAAAGGTCTATGTAATAACCAGTGTGTAAGTTCCTTGTGCTTAAAAAGTATTGCACCAACTCTCAATTCAAGCCTCTGCAGCACAAAACTTCCCAAATTTTGTAGAACAGCTTGGAGAACAAGTTCAGCTCCTCCACTTTACCCTTCAAGACTCCTCTGGAGTGCAGGCACCAGCTTCTTCTGCCTACAAGAAAGGCAAACACACCCCTGGATTTCCTGGCAGGGCACGGATAAGTCCTTTAACACACTGTGCCATTCCCTTCCAGCTGCTTTAAGATTCCCACTACACCTGAAGAGCCAAGTTTAGGAACGGGAAAGGAGCAGCTCACAGCTGCATCTACCCAGGCAGGCACAGAGAGGAGCACCCACAGCTGCTGCACAGAGCCAGGTGCCCATCCCAGAGGTTGCTCTGCCTTTTGCAAGTTCCTGTGCAGTTCCCGAGGTATCACAAGCATGACACCAAACCCAGCGAGGTCTTGGCTTCCAGTTGTTGCTGAGGGATTCTGAGAACCAGCTGGTTTCTGTAACTCACAACAAATTACTCTGGAGTGCCCATAAAACTGGAACTCATAACACATGGAGAATTCAGTTAAAGTTTGCTATCATTACAAACCTGAATGCATTGGATACCAAGTTGCAAGGCCCACTGTTTTTCCCTGTGATCCAGGAAGTCTTGCAGGTCCATGATCAAGACAGACCTTGACCACACTGATATTAAGCCAAAACCTGAAGAAAACCATAGCAGTTTCCACTCCAGACAGTTTTTGACCCTTAAGCACATGCAGGTTTTGCTTCAGGAATTTACAAGCAGCCTTTAGATCAAGTTCCAGTTTGAGTTACTCAGCTCCCAGGGCTGCCTCACCCTGAGCTGGCTTTCCAGCTGAAGGCATCTTACAGAATTTAAAAGTTTCTGCCATCTTCCCCTAAGCAAAATACCCCTGGGGCTGGGCCCACTGCTGTGAATCCTACCATTAACCTGACCCATCTCACAACTCTTAATGAGTTCCTTAGCAAAAATGAGGAAGTAGAAGCACACCACAAAGCAAGGTTCAAGGTGTCCTGCCTAAAGGCCAAGTTGAACGAAACTACTACCACTAAATCCACAAAGAAGATACCCTAAAAGCTACAAAAATATGACATTTAGGCTCCAAAACCCAATTTAATTGTGCTTTTAAACTCCCAACAAACCAGGCCCTACTCAGAGGTTCTAGGAAAGCATTTTAAGGAAGATGGAATGTGCTTATACCACAGATTCCCCAACTGTGCTTCCCAAGTCATGAGAGATATCAGCTGCCAGGCAAGGCCTCGAGGCTCACAGGTAAACCAGTGCCACCAGCCTTGCTCAGCCTCACACCACCCTCATCCCTACCCTCCTCCTGTTCTATTTCCCAGGAGCTGGTACACTGCCTTTAAAACATACCTCAATGGAAGTATCCACAAATTGCACAAGAAGCTTTCAAAAAACTATCAAACAGAAATGGTTTAGGTCTAAGTTTAACCCTGCACATGTTTCAAGTTATAATTATCAACTCCAAAGACATTTGTTAATGAAGTTCCAATTTAATCCCATAGACGACAAATACCTCCCCAGTCTAACACACTCCTGGTAAAACCTGCACTGGCCAAAAGATAAGACTAGTTTTAAGGATTCATTTAATGCTAGTACAGCCTTCAGTAAGAATAACCAACATAACTGCCAACATCAAGAAGTCAATCAGGCAAGTAAAAAGCCAGCATGCTTTAACAGTCAGCTCCAGCAACTTTACTAAGCCTTGGTACACAGCAGTGCTCCTCAAATCCACTCCAACACACTATATGTATCCCTCTGGATTATCCAAAGTCCTCTTAGCTTGAACTCCATGGGCTTTCCACTCTGCTCCAGTCTGAGCTGCTTTCACACTACTTTACTGAGAGGCCACATTAGCTTGATTATAAACCTCATTTCTGCCTCAGGTTGCTGCTGTAAGTGAAATAAGCTTTCCATCTGCCTTTAGCAAGTTTACTTGCCTGAAGCCCCTGAACCCTTCAGCAACAGGCAGTGTAGGGAGATGTTACAAAATCCTGACTTATGTAACCAAAAAGGAACTCATAGCCACTTTAACCATGAATTGTTCCCAACTCCCAACAGAGTAAAGTCAAGCAATGAGGAATGAGGGCCAAAGTCGAATTGATCACACCCTGCCTCACCTCAGGACCATGGCACAGACGAGCTGCCAGCTCCCTGTGCAGGGCCAACAGGGCAGGAAGCTGGGAAGAGCCTGTGCACATTCCCTGGGCCAGCAGCATCTCCCTGCCAGGTGCCAGAGCCTGCATCCAGAGGCATTTTCTCAGCTCCGCTCTCCACCTGCCCAGCAGCAGTGTCACGTGTCACACATGTGCACAAGGTCAGACCAACAATTCCCTACAGTATCCATAGGTGCTCTCCCCCCCACAGGACCGTCATTCCAGAGTATCTGACACTACAATTAACAGAAACAATTTAATCCTTTCCTTTTGATAAAAATTGCTTTTGCAATGCTTGCAGTTGCTCAGATCCCCCAACTCTGACTCCTCACAAGGCTCTGCAGAAGTCTGAAGTCAAGTATAAGCAGCGCAAGAAATGAAACGCAGCAATAACCAAATAGAAGCAATAACCAAAGTACATGATATAAACAAGCTCTGATGTAACTGCTGCCTTTCCTTTTTATTTTTTTTTTCCAAAGCCTGAACAGGAAGAAGACCAAAGCAATGTGTACCTTCCTCCTGGTGTAGAATCTGAGTATCAAAACACCTCTCTAGCTAACAGAAGCTGCAGCAGCATTCTCTGTACACAAGCTCTCCAACACAGATGGGCTGCGCTGGCAGCTCCACGCACGCAGCGAGAGGCCCAGCGGAAGAACCCAGTTGCTCCCACTGGCTGCTGTACAGAACTGGCAGCACAGAAATAACACCAGGTCTGCTGAGCACAGGTAGAACAAAGACAACTCTGACCACCAACGCTGCTCTGCACTATTGTCCTCACAAATCCCACCCACAGGCACCGCTCCTTTTGGCAGAAGTGATGCCTAAGCATCTCTGGACTGCAGGACTACAGCAAGGACTACACTCTCTTCCACAGCTACACAGGAACAGCACTGTGGAATTCAGTTTAGCTACCCGGTTTTTGGGCCTATGCATTATAAGCAGTAGTAATCCTCAATTCCTCTGCTGCAGAAAGTGTTTTACTTGAGCAGGGCTCAAGCACAGCTGCTGCTTCCCTTCCCCCTCACCCGCCAATCACACAGGGGAACCCGTCAAAGACAATGAGCTAACCTTTTCCTCGCTTTCCCATTCAGAGAACTCCAAACCATGCCCCAGTTATCCAGTTATAGGTATTGCATTCTCCAAAGATAAGCAACACAGATTGAGGATGTGGCTGAATCCAAAAGGTTTCAGCTTAAACCTTAAAATGGAAGGCCCTCCTGTACCTCCCTGCCATCCTGCCCTTGGATTGCTTTACGCTGCTTTTCTTATAAAATACATCTAGAATAAAATAGATAGTTTTTACATATATATAAAAATACCAATTCTATTAGTATACTTCAGTGTTACCCCCAAGGACTCTGCCTGGCAGTACTGCTTACACCTCAAACACTTCTCACAAGAAAAGATTGCAAGTTTCAGACCCATGATCCAGTAAAAGCACCTAAACAAGAATTTGGAGCTGCACTGCCCAAAATACTGTGGTGAGTAACACAGGCAGCAATCTGAGAGCAGGTCTCACCAAGTCTAAGCTCTTTTGGAGCATCTGCTTAAGAGAACAGCTGCTGCTGTGTGCACACATGTTACCCCAGCTCGAGCCTCTGCACAATCCCAAAAGCAACTGTGCCACCAGTGCCACACTGGGACAGACTCTGCAGGTTCCTGTGCTGCCTCACACGCCAGCAGCACCTCTGGCTCACTGCATGTTCTACCGCTCTCTCCCAGCCGGAGTTCAACATACAAGAGGCCATTTCAGGTAACACTGTATCAAACCTTCACTCCTGGGATTTTCTCCTTTCCAAATTCCCAGCCCTGTGTTATCCGAGGACACAAAAATTTTGACAAAAACATCAAAGAAAGCCCTTGTGGCTCAGTATAAAACCCAACTGCCAAGAGCAAGAGCCAGTGGCCAGACTGAGCCCTGCACATTGATATACCATGACTGAGAACACCCTTAAAAAAAAGCCAAAGCAGCAGTTTTCTCTCCCATCATGTCTCTGTGCTCCAGTCCATTGGGATTATTCCTACTCAATCCACATTCTGCAGGCTTCTGCAGCCACAAGCTGCAGCAGCAAAGGTCAGAAACTGGCTGTCCCCTCGTTATCCTGACAGGGATGGCCACTACACACTGCCAGAGCCCAGAACAACCCTGAGATGATGATAGGAACGCTCTCCACGGGGTTTAAAATAGCCAGAGCGTAAACAGCCAGCCATGATTACTGAAGCAGCTACACTGAGACACCCACAGCAACTCACTCAGAGTGCTCCTTCCAGCCTGTAGATTCACGCCCATCCAACTTTCAAAGCATCTGGGCTGCTACAACAGGCAGATTTATTTCCCTCCCCATACGCTGTTTTGTGGAAATGCTGCCTCCAGCCCCATCACCTCCCTCTCCTCCACAGCCACCACATTCACTCCACTCAAACTCTCTTTGCAGAGCTCACACAAAACTGCTTTGGTGATGCTCTTGCTACTTCCCAAGGCTTTGAAGACTCTCATACCCCTACACAGTCCCTATTATCTCTTAGGATTCTTTATTCTTGAAAAGCAGCATGAAGAGTCAGTCCACAAGCGCCCAACGTTAACAAAGACTCCACACATCCAGCTTTTCTCCTGTCACAAACCAGCCTGGAAATACAAGTGCTCTCAGAGTCTTGACTCCTGACCCTCAGCATGCACTGAACTACAACCAAGCAGCTTTCCTCAGTTGCCTGACACAGAATTCACCCTCCCCACTACAGCCCTGCACTGCCTGTGTATGCCCAGCCTCCCACAGCCACATTTACCCTATTCAGCACCCACTGCTGTATCTCCCACACCTAAGAACCCACTGCCGAAGTTTGAGAGCTCTTCCAAAGCACCTGCGAGCTCACAAACACTGTGGAAGAGTCCTCACAATGCTCTGAGGATCACTAAAGTGCAGGACAGAACAGTGCAGAGAAGCAAGACTCAGCTGGGACACAACTTCCTTATGTAACTCACTACCGGATCCACAGCTGGAAATCCAGCAGTCTACAACCATACTCCAAACACCTCCCTTCCTAGGACAACCTATTCCACAAGCATAAGTAAGGCTTCAAGCTCTTCCATTTTCTTCTCCACCTGAGCTTTAACCTGATCAGTAGGACACATGAAGCTGCACAAAGCCTCCAAGGTAACCTATAACCAAAGCAGAGATGTTAACACAGAGCCAACACTACACATGAAACCAAACAGGGCTACAGAGTGAGCTTAGAGATAGTGGGTTTACAGCTGGCTCTGGACAAAAAATAATTTACATCGTGAGCAAGAAGAGAAACACTATGGGAGGACTGTTTCCCACACCTGAACCTCGTACAGCTTCCAAACTGACAGCTACACATTTTGCAGGGGAAAGGATACAAATTCCCTGCCTAAGTCACCAAAGTAATACAAGTGGACTGCAGTTACCGTTCAGGGTATTTTTTCTGGTAAAAAACACTGATGATCAAGCACTGTCC